TGGGTTATGCTGAGGTTTGTTTGGGTTGTGTATACCAATTATGCGTTGGGTTATGTTGTTAATTATTTGGGTTGATATTTTTTTGGTTTGTTAGCTATCTTGTGTTGTTCGGGGTTATCATGATGGTCGGTTGTGCATTGTGTTCTTATAATTTTTTATTATCTTATATGATGTATGCATTAAGTGAAGATAATATTTTAGGCAGGGTATAAGAAAGTTTTTTGTACCATCTGTCCGAAAGAGGTACAACTAGATAATCAACCTATAACACATTTTTTTAAGGAAAATTGTAAGGATATAATTCACAAATTTCATGAAAAAATTGGAAGAGAATATAATACGAGTCAATTAAAGAATATATGAGATCAACTTAAAAAACGATTAAAAATTATGGAAAGAATTGAAACATGACTCAACCAAACTATGTTTGGACTACAAAAAAAATAACTATAAATGCATGTGATGAATGATGGAAAGATAAATTAGAGTTGAATTTACCTTTTTAAATTCCCGTGTCCTATTAGTTATTTAGAATGTGCATGATAATATGACTAGTACTTTAACTTTTTTTAAATGTAGGTTGTTCATAATGCCAAACAAATTCAAACTTTTGTGGTATTGATCCTGAACTTGAGAAGAATTTTGACATGATATTCGGTGGAGTCATTGCCACTAGTGACTGTGCTTGGGCTTCATGTCAAGAAGCCCCAATTGACTTAGATCCCCAAGAATTTTCTTAGTAGAGAAATAATTCAAAAGAAGTTAATCTAGAGAGAGATTCATACTATACCACACTAGAGCGCTCTACTTTTAGCCATACGAACCATGAACATTATGTTGAACTTGTCATGATAAAAAGAAAAACCAATAGAGTTATTTTCCTAAAGAGAACCTATCTTCGGAGCCAAGTTCATCAAACGAACCTCCTTCCATTTTTTCTGTCAACGATATGCTTGAGATGATCCCTAAAATTTATGATGACCTTCCACTATACTTAATCTTGACCAAGTTGCTCAAGGATAATCTTGACCAATTTATGATAAAAAGAAAGGTTTTCATGTAGACTGTAGTTGATCGAAGAGTCCATTACCTTAGGTTTTTTTAATAAAAGCTAACAAGGCTAAAGAATTTATGTGTTTTTGGGTAACTGTCTGTAGTGATTTTTTATTGTCGAAATTTCATATTTTTTCATGGTCATACTCATATGTTTTGCTTTATGTTAAACTATGAAATAGTGCTAATAAATTTCTCTGAATTATTTATTATTTTTTGCATTTTACTAAGATAATTTATCGTATATGAACTCAGTGGGTATGTAGTTGATTCCATTTAAATGGTGCTTGTCGAACTTTTATTTGTTTCAATACCATAATGCTAGATTGAAAGAATGAGCTTGACAAGAAGTTCATGATTGATGTTGAATGCTTAATTAATAAGTGTTATGCAATATATATTTTTATGCCTTTCTCAATGGCATTAACCTACATTAGAGATAAACGGATTAAGGAACTACATGAATGAAACAATAGAAGACTTCATAGTATGTTTCATATGTCAAAAATAGTGTTTATTGATCATCTAAAATATTTGCAAATAACTCATGGTCTCCAAGACTCTTCAGGAATCACAATAAGAGAAGTGTTAGGCTTAAGAATTTATAAATTATCACACAAAAAGTCAATAAGGTCAGCATGTGAGCTCTTTTAACATTCATTTGAAACAATTAATAGATATTTCAATTTCATATTAGTTCTCATTAGCTTGACACGTGCTAATGTGAAGCCATTAAATCCAACTTTTCAGAGTATATATCTCGAGATAACACATGATTATCATTTTATGTCATACTTCAAAGTAAAATCATACCTATTAATTTTTATAATTTTTTTAGCTGCCTAAAAGTGCTTAATAAAATAACTTGTTAGGTAAAACTACCTTGAGGCTATTGATGAAAGATGTGTGTATGCTTGTATTCCTAAAGATAAGACTATGGTTTATATTAGAAGGTGTGGTTTGCCAACTCAAAATATTATGATAGTCTGTGACTTTAACTTGCATTTCATGTTTGCCATGATTGAATAGGAAGAAAGTATGCATGTTAGTCTTGTATTCAAATTTGCAATATAGTTCAAAACATTATAATTTCCATATGCCACCTCCATGTACTTCTAAATTGCACATGAAGAAGTTAATTATTTTGAGGTACCATTTACTTTTAAATATTTTGCGTCATTGAACGAGTTAGTGCTATCTTGTTGATATTGGGTACCCTGTGTAGATGTTTTTTGAAGATATTTTCTGAAATAAAATATCACATGCTTGACTTTGAAAGAAGTAGGTAGGTTGTTCGAGATGGGAAATAAATGTTTAACAAATGATACTCTTCATTAAGTCGCGTAATTGAGAGGGCTTTTAAAGTTTATAAGAAGAAATGAGTGGTTCTAACAGACACGTATGCATGCCCAACAAATAGACAAGTCAAAATAAAGGAAACAACAATGTCATTGCACAATTATATTGGATTATATCTTTCAAAACATAACATTGAATTTGATAGTTTATAAACAAATCACACATTTATTCCATATGAGGTTTATGAGTATAAGGTTGGCCTGTCAATTATGGGAATTGAAAATGTTGGCGATAGCCCGACTCAAGATGATGAAGGTGCTTATATTATGGTTCAACTAAAAGAACATATTACAAATGCTTTAGTGAATGAGTAATACATGTATTCTTGATTATTTTTGTTGTGTACTTTAGATATTTACTTTTGCTCTTGATTATTTTTGTTGTGTACTTTAGATATTTACTGCTTGAGAGTTTCTTTTATATTATTTTTATGTATTTCATCAGTGCTTCATGAATTATGTCATTTTGTGTAATCCAAAAATTATTAAATATTTTGTTGTGTTGTTGCATTAATATTTGCTTTTTGTGTTATTTATTAATTTATTTTTTATACCATTTGATGAGCCATATAATTTTTGAGGTTCTTCTAGATGTCTTTTATATTGATCTACTTTTTGAGATATACGAGTTTGGTTTTAAAAGCTTAAAGGTAATCAAAATCTCATTTATAGGTCCACCACCTTGTTACAGTGGCCACTTGCATATATATATATATATATATATTATGCTACCTTTGAGCCCTTAATTTTTTTATTTACTTACAGTTCTATTGCACATTTCCTTTAAAATTTTTGATTAAAGATTTAACTTTTCATTCTTAGGAAATATGAGCTTAAGGATTTCAAATGCTTATAAAGTTAAGTGTTGCAATTGCGGTATGCAATGTTTCGAGTATGGTTTAAGATGAGATGCTAGCTATATGAGAAGATTTTACAGGTGTCGTATGAATAGAACACTTGTTGACTATAAATTTTTTAGATAGGCTGATGATAGTGAGGAATCCACTTCAAAAGGTGATCATGTATGGAGAGAAGCTTTGCAAAATAAATTTCTCAAGAAAACTTGATCATTTGGACATAAAAACTAATTTCATTATAATATTACTTCTTAATATTATATTTTTTATTATCATGTTATTATGTGTTAAGTTATGTATTGCATTGACGTAATATAATAAAGATTTTTTTTATTTCTTTTAACCATTCAAATTTAATTTTGTTATTCTATTTGAATTATTTCTCAAATTGTGGACTTGCGACTAAAAAATATATTTAAGGGCATAAGAAAAATTTTTTTTTTTCAAAAACAACTGCAACACAAAAAATCATCCAAACATATACACTACTTCACCATCAATAATTTTCTAACAACTTATCCTAAAAATAACTGATCAATTGTTTATTCAATAAGTTGCAGTTGCCTCAAATACACTCTTAATTGTGCAAAATCTCAATCTCACGTATCCCAAATTTACAAAATTAAGCATCAAAATCAAGGTTAATTAAATATAACCAAAATAATACAATAATAATGTAATAATATAAATATAAAAAACAAATAAATCAAATGTATACTAAATATTTTTAAGTTTCGAAATCATTGCCATCAAACTCTCTTCCATACCTATGGCTAGACCTAGGCTACTAAAGAAGTTTTCTAGACCTCAACCAAAAGTGAGGTCAACACCTTATCAATAAACTTATGTCACTTTAAGAATGACACAAAAAATATAAAACAACTTTCTAAATATATATGACATTCAGCTAAGAATTCTTATATATCCACATATATAATATCTAAACTATCACATTTACATTTATCACTTAAATCTTTAATATCACATCGAAATATTTTTTCACTAGTGCCTTTTCTATGCAACAATTCTCACAATTTACGAGCAACCTAAGGAAAAAAATTTCATATGAAGCCCGGACACAGTTCTGCGTCTGGATCCTAATAAAATATTGCAACGTGTTTTTGACCGGACCCACATAAAAAATGAAGAAAATACAATAAAAACTCCAATAACACCACAATAACGCGGCTTCACTTCAATAATCCAGCAAAACAACTCGAATAACACTACAATAACATCGCAATAACACCGGTGATCAACGCCAATAACACCTCCCAGAGGAGCACACAAATAACACAACGGTAACACCACAATAATCTCAGTAAAATAACTCCAATAACGCCATAATACTTCCAATAACCCCCGTGAAAAACTACCAATAACACCGTGCGGAGGACTCAAAAATAATACGTGATGAGATTGAGATGTTATTAAGGTGTTATTGAATTCTTAGCACACAAATAACACAACGGTAACACCACAATAATCTCAGTAAAACCCGTGAAAAACTACGAATAACACCGCGCGGAGGACTCAAAAATAATACCGTGATGAAATTGAGATGTTATTAAGGTGTTATTGAATTCTGTACATTATTTTTAAGTGGGCCTAATTAAGCACAGATCATAAGATTTTATTGAAGCAGGCCTGTAAAATTTTTTCGAGCCTCACACCCTAGCTAATTCATTTGCTCCACCGCTCTCCCGCCCTTCTCCTCGATGCGCTTCCCCCAATGCCTCTCAACCGTCTGTCTGATCCGACTCTTTCCTCGTCGTTGCGCAGCTCCCGCTCACCGCTTTTCATCTTCTCCCGACGCCGTTCGGCCGCAGCTGAAAGTCGGCGATGTTCTGCGCATGGTGGGTTCGATGGAGGCTGCATCGTTCATGGAATGCTCGTCGCGTCCCTTTTCCCCTCCGTCATATCCTCCAACTTTGTAGGTTTTCAATCTTTTCTTAAATTGTCTTCTTTTAATTGTGCTCATAATGGTTTTGCCGATTGCAAGTAGATAAGCGAAGATGGATCTTAATTTTCTAATAGTTTAGCTAATATTTGCTGCATGTTTATGCCGGGCACCTCTATAATTAAGCATTGATGGTTAATACTTATTCTTTCCTTTGTTCAGTATAATGCAGTGATTGCCAATGGAGAACCAATGCAATTCCTTGTTGGGAAATCCATGCTAAAGTTAATTGTTGGCTCTATCCTTAGACTTTTTGCTTTCCACCTTGGTTGTTTGGTTCTAATTATGAGGACAACTTTGTTATAGTCTACTTTTAATGTTAGGCTATTGGCACCATCATGAAATATGGAAGGTTCAAGACTGTTTAATGTTAATTGAAAAGAGCATAGTAAGATGCTTTCCGTTTGTAGAGCCTAGCAATATTAATATGAGCTAGAGATTATGCAGTATGATAAATTTGTTGTGTGAATCGGCAAGAAAATGAGAGTGCTTTCCTTTGATCGCAAGAGGTAATATATACGTAATATATATGTAATATATTGATGGTGGAGGAGCATGGCAGACCCATGTTGTAGTGAGGGAGGGCACAATTAATTTTTTTGATGTATTGATGGCAGAGGAGCATGGGCAGACCATTGTTGTAGTAAGGGTGAGCAAATGACCACATTCAAATTTTTTATTCCTGTATAAAATATAAATTCTTAGGATAACATAGATTTTTAGGAGTTTTACCACCCTCAATTTATCATTTTGCCTAATCCTCATAAAAACCTCAACTTAAACATAATTTATTTATATTTTCCTACAAGTTTACATTATTTTCTAGTTATATTTCCTTTTTGTACATTTAATAAATTATCGTTCGAGTTTTTTTTGTTTTTTTGAAACACTAATTATATACATATATACATATATATGTATACATATATATATTTTGTCCACCTTGAAAAAGGGTGTAGTTAGCCCCTGGAAGGAGAGTTTCACATGAAGTGAGGAAGACACTATGATATCATATAAATAGAAGTTTTTAAGAAGAAAAGTTTGCCTTCAAATCCCCAATAGACGTATGATCTAGATAGTGAGCAAGGATTAGTGAGAGACATTAGTATTGCTGTGATATTTGTGCGTGTTGAGCAATGCCAAAATGCTGGGGGTGGCTCTCACCCCACAATTTTTGGAAAAGGCCAGACATAAGTATAAAACATAATTTTTTATGGTTTATTTCTTTTACTACTTAGTATAATATAGAACTTTTTGCTCCCCTCACCAAATTTGGGGTAAACTTGTTTAATCCCTCTTGCTTTATATTTTAATTGCAACACTAGCCGAGTGGAGACCATGGAGCAGAGCAAAAATAGGACTAGGCTATAGAGCTATGCAAGCACGAAGCAATGGGTCAAGTATGGAGAAACATAAAGCAAATGTGCAAGCATGTGATGCGGGGTAGTGTGAAACACAACATGAGTAGTGCTATAGGTGAACCAATGTAGCCGTTGAAAAACTCAGAGTCAGCTCGATTAATACAATGAAGTTTATTCAAATTAGTAAATAAATAAGTTTGATCTATGTTAAAATCTCGAAGGTTAAATGAATCATGCTAGCACAATCCCCAACTCATTTATTTATGTTCATTAAACAAACTCGATTATTGTTCAACAAGTAAATTCTTAAATGATTTATGGTAAGCCCGATGATAACTAAATTATATATTATAATATTATTTAAATAGAATTTTATTAATTAAAATATATTTAACTATACATTTAATTAAAATAGATTGTAATTTAATGTCACTATGCATATTATTTTATTGCAATTCATCATTATTTATTTATTTCAAGGAACTAGTTTGTTTGTACTTGTTTATGTTATTTGATAAAAAGAAAGCTTACTTGCATCTTATATATTATCTTATTTAATTATTGTAAACAAATTAGATACTAATTCAAAATTTATTAAATTGCTTATTTTCTTTATATTTGTAAAATGATTCATTAATAAAATTATGTGAGAAGCCAAGTATTTTTTTGAATTTTTAATTTGTTTATTAACTCGTTGAAGAACCCGTTCAATTAATACAAACAAGCCAAGTACAAAATAAGTATGCTGTAAACAAATTTAAACAAGTCATGTATGAACATAAATATAAAAGTTCGCTCAAACTTGAGCCAAACTTGAACAACTTATAATATGACAAAGCCAAGTCCAATCCATGACACTTAATTTTCTAATAAAATGTGAACTCAAATAAATAAATCTTTTAATTTGAAAATTATTAAAACCTAACCACAGGATAGTGGAAGTGACACCAAGTTTCACAGCATCCAGGTACTTCCAACTTTTTTTCTTTTGGACTAAACCATAGCCTTAACTAGGAATTTTTTAGGAGATTCCCCTCCTAAGATGTAATTAATTATAGAGGCTTACACTTATACGAAGTTTTAACCTAGATTAATCTAAAATACTTGGCTTGACTTGACTCAACTACAACCCTAAACATGAGATAACTGTGTGGGAGGGAGTTGTGGGCAGTGTGCAATGCAAGCTGGTAAGTGAAACGAGGGAGAAATAGGAACATGAATCAAAGGGGGCGCGTGATGCAACTTTCTTGCTCGATGGGAAACCACCCTTGAGGTTGCAGACTGGTGTATGATGTGAGTTTTGCAACCAATCCATTGGAACAATGAAGCATGCAGTAGGCGTCATGTGCAATATGGAGGTCACTGTTGACACATATAAGCACTGGAAAGTTATGGGCTTTGGATATGAAGTTGGGTAGATAGGGAAATGAGGATAAACTTGGCAGGCATCTAGAGTTTCTAGCTCTAATACTATGTTAAGAGAAATCAGAGATTTTTGCGTAATTATGACTTGTAATAGGTCCAAACAGGACAATAATGAAACAAATAGCCGCAGGATATCTCTATTGTAATCTCCTTCCAGTAGTACGGATCCTACGTAATAAATCAATGCTACTAAATGTAGTTGAATGACCTTGCATTATGCTATTTTTCCTTTGAACTTTGGCTTAGCAAGAGGATATCTTTGAAACACTTAACATCTTATCTGATAATTTAGAACTTATTTCCTTTGACTGTTTGTATTGAAATGAATTTAAATTAGAGACTAGATTGCAGTGAACTAAAAGTTGAACAAATTATCAGTGTTTTCTGGTTCGTAGTTGTCCAATCACATTCGTATTCCAACCGTTTCATCTATTTCAATAACAAGTGATGTTGTTAAGGGCTTTAAGTATGATGCACCTATGGAATAATATTAATTAGCCCATAAAAATCAAAGGCATTGATATAATCCTTTTTGACATCCTAGATTGTTTAATTTGTTTGAAAATTGGATTGTCCTTCTGTAATGATTTTCTGAAGCGAAAAGTAGATCTTCATGTTTAACTTTTTTTATTCTAACATAAGATTGTTTCATGGTGAATTCTTCAACCATTAAACTGGTTAGGAGGCAAGCAAATCTCCTTTGTTAAGAGTCTACTTATTAGACTTACCACACTTTTCTGTTTTTAGAACATAAAATTCTGAGATGCAACAGATAGGAGTAGGACTTGGTTTGTATCAAGGTGCTTGACATTTTTAAAACGAACATTAGGGATGGAGCTTTGAAACATTTTCATTTCCTGTTATGTGTGCTTCAAGCTTCTAATTCTTACTTGTTCTTCCAAAGTTACCAAGTAGCTCCTCATATTCCCCATAAGCCTGAATTACTCTCTCTCTCTCTCTCTCTCTCTCTCTCTCTATATATATATATATATATATATATATACATCCCATATTCTATATGCGAATGTTTATTTTTGAAGAACCATGCAGCCAGGAGCAATTTATGCTTCTCAAACTTTGCAATTTAAGCTGCCAGTCTACATTGAGGATGAGGTGATTGCTGAAGTGCAAGCAACAAACATGAGGGAACATAAGAACAAATACTTGTTAAACCTTTGTATTTATTTGGAAGATTTACATGCATTCCACTAATTCTTATGTATTTACATATATAACACTTAAATTTCAATTTTTACATATATGCTACCTTGCCTATGCATGAAAAGATGTACTTCACTTATTAAAAGTTAAAATAGTGATATTTTTTTTTATGTGATCCGAAAAATTTAGGCAGTATAAATGTAAAAAAATCAAAATTTAGGTGTTAGATATCTAAATACATGAGAATCATGTGTTATGTATGTAAATGCCCCTATTTACTTTTAATGGGTGCAACTACTCGTGAACTAACAAGCTTAACTCCATTAAGGGATGCTCAAAACTTAACGGATTCGCCGGCAATTATCAGCAGCTCAAATTAATGAAAACTTTTTATCGAATTTTTTCTTTTTTGTTTTGTTTTCTTCTTGTTTTGATTTTATTTTTGTTGCAAATTCTCTAAAGTGAAATTTCCGTTTAGCTCTAGCTGCACAATTTCACTAAAGAAATATTTTCTGGTTTTGAATGAGTGGAAAATATTGGTTGATATTGTTCCAAAACTTTCAAGAGATAATTTTACTTGTTTTAGGAAAAAAAAAAACAAAACTATTCTTACCTTACTTTTTTTGTCAGAAACAGTAATAAAATTCATAAAAACCGAATCAAACTAGGCCAAAAGAATATAAGTAGTCCCTTGTTTTAAAGCATTTCTTTCTAAATAGTCCACTTTCTGCTTTTGTGACAGAGTAAAGTTCAGAACAAAATGCTTCAAAAGTCAAGGTCTTCTTATGGATGGAGAAGCTATGGCTATTTTGCCAACTCTGTTACCTACAGTAACAGTATATTTCTAACACAGTTACCATGCAATGTAGGATATCAAGAGGATTTATATTACAATGAGCTTTACGATATTTTCATTATGTTAATGTTAGTTAATGTTTCATGTGAAAATTGTAATTGTTGTAAATTTGAATGTCATGATTGTAAAATGTAGACTTTGGTAGTGTATTTAGTGAAGTCTATAGGTGTAATGATCCTTAGGATTCTTTTAAGTTACACATGGAAGGGGTTGGCCAAGCAAAGAACTTAAGTTGGCCATTTCATTCAAGCTGGCGAAGCCAATTCAAGGAAGGGTTTAAATCAAGAAGCACATGCATGTAGTATTCCCACATAGTGAAGGATGTTGAGACCAAACAATAATACTTCCTCCATTGTTCAAGGGACCACTTACATTGTCGGCCAACCACCTTCCATCCTTTTGGATTTTCATTTTCCTTATGTTATAATGGTTAAAATGAGTGAAAAACTTCTGTAATAGCATCTTATGTTAAATGAAAATAAATAAGTTTATCTTCTTCAAGGTTTATTGCTTGGTCGCACGACCTCCATAATGAAGATCCTTTGGTATGATGCAAGATTTTTTTTGTTTAGTTTTTTCTGTCCACATTTCCGTTGCCTTCTACCACAACCTTTCATCAGCCATCATCACAATCAACCATTAAAGCCAAGATATGGTAATAAGTTTTACTCACACCTTATCCCCCTCAACCCTAAAAATCATATCCATGCGACTCCTAGCCACATTCAATTACATCCTGTCATCCTTACCTTGCTCCCTCACTCTCATAAAACCCTAGCCCACCCGCAAGGCATCGAGTCCCCTACTGAGGTGCTCTCAAATTCTTCCTCTATACAATGCAATCCAAGGTCCACTTCTCGATTTCCATCACTCTCCACATCTCATTCCAACCTCCTCCATTCCTCTCTATCACCTTCCCACCTCTCTAACATGCTCCCAACAAAGCCGAACCCTACTTTATGACAAGTTCATGAAGCATTTCCAGTGCATAATAGTCCTCCTTCAACCCTAATCTCATCCTCTCCTTCTCAAGTCACTCACCACATCCATTCCATCTTCAAATACTACAAGCCCTCATTTTCAAAAAAATAAAATAAATAAGAAAAAATAATAATAAAAAAAAATACTCCAAGCCCTCATCATTCCCTCCTTAATAAGTCCACGTTCAGGTGATCTCCACTCTCCACTAGAATGCCTCATTTACTTCTGATATGGGATACATTGTCAATGCAGTATTCTGTTAGTTTCGAAAGATAACTAAACTTCATTTTTGTATAATTATGATGATTTCAGGTGATCAATATTGCTCTTTTCTGAAAATTCTGTTTGGAGAAAATTCAGGCTGAAAGAGGTAATTAATCGGCCTTGTTTTATTTCTGCTCTTAGATTTTATTCTATACTTGAACTTAATCGTTTATCTTGATATGGAAGCACAAACATCTATCATGACAATCTGAGGACCATGGACTTGTGCTTATTCTGAACTGTTTAGAATCTCATAGCAGAAGCTGTTATTGCTGCATCATTCATCTCCATAGGCAGGTGGAACATTTTGATTAATTTGTGACAGGGAAGATATATAATTTTTTTCTTGGAAGAACTTGAGGACATTGGAATCACTTTCCATGTATTTCATTATAAAAAAGGGGGATTTACTTAAATACCAAATAATTCTCAAGTTTTTACAAATAGAACACCTAAACTTTGTTGTTTTCTTATCAAGGGTTTTAGTGTCGTAATCAAATAAAAAAATATGCATTCAAAAGTGCATTTTACTTTGGATAATTTGATTTTAGTAGTATTTTTATTTGGTTCTAAAAAGATTTCGGTGATATATAAATTAATATGGAATTTTAATTTTTACATTTGTAAATAGATAAGAATTGGGTGCTATGCATGTAAATTCCCCTATAAAAATCTTGTAGATAGCAATTTGTCTTACATTTAATTGAATTTGTTTGCATGTGAGAGGAGGTGAGATGTGAGGAATGTGAGAATGAACTCTCTCCTGCAGAGGAGAAAGATTACTTTTCCTATCAATTAAAACTTTTCATTTATTATTTTATATAATCTTCAAAATTAGAATCATAGATGGTGATAGAGTATGATAGTTTATTGTTTTACCATGCATGGAGATCTTAAACATAACATGATGAAATAAAATATACAAGAGTCATTCAAAATTTTTTATGTGGTAAATTTGAGGAGAGAAAAATCCCGAGGTCTTGCCTTATTAAAATGATTAATTCAACTATATTGATGAAAGTTGGTAAAATTTAGTCCATCATTTAGATAGGGGAAGACAATGTTATAAGAGTGCAAGAGGTTGACATGATGGATTTACAGATGATAAATTGTTAGAGGTAGCAACAATCGGGTGATGATGATGGGTGACAATGATTTAGTGATGGTGATAGTGAGTTTATGATGACCGTCTAACAATGATGGTGCTCTGATAGTGATAATAATCGAGTGATTATGATCTAATGATAGTGTTGTCGGTGAACCGACCGTGGTGATGATCACGGGACAAAGGTTTGTGATAGCGATGGATGTTGAGCAATCGCAGTTTTACGACAACAGTCGATTGAAGATTGATCGACAGTGGCAACGGAGATTGTCTACAGTGATCCATCAATGATGGCGGCTGTGTGATGGTTGCTCGGCTATGATTATAACGACCCTGCGGTAGTGATCCAATGGTAGTGATAGCTACGATCATACAAGGATGGTCTAATGATGATGACAATTGAGTATTGGTAGTTCGATGATGTTGGTACATTGATCGTAGTGATGGCGACCATGCAACAATATTGGACAGTTGGAGTTCAGGAATCCTCAATGTCTCGAAGCTCTTTTGAGTCTTATCATCAAAATCTAACTTTTTTTCCCCCACGAAGAGGGTGAGGATCTATTTATAAATCTTTGAAGTAACATTCTTCGTAAACATTACTTAAATCAAGATCACTACATCAAATGACCACAGGTGATCTCCTTACATGCCTTATTTTATTTTGAGTATTTGAATGTCTTAAATATATCAAAATTAAGCAATCCTCTTTTGAGTGCTTTTTCTTCTTCATACATTTGATCCTATAACATAGATCTTTTGAGTGCTTTTTCTTCTTCATACATTTGATCGTATAACATAGAAGGTTTATCATATTTTTGTTAGTTTTCCGGTGCCAATATCTTCATACATTTGATTTGAGAATATGTTAATACATAAGAATTGAGTGGTATGCATCTAAATCTTCCTTATTTCTTTGAAATGATCACTCTTCTATCTCTAGCTGTGAAAGAGCATGTTGTTGGTTAGGAGCATACGGAGGCACTTTCAATTTGTGAAATTTGTAGAACTAAAAATTTTTTTGGATGTTGTTTTGTGATGCCCCTAAAGTCTATAACAACAAAATTTATGGACATTTTTATGTCTTATAATGTTATTTTCTAAGAAATTCTTAATTACTTTTTTCTTTGGCCTTCCTCTTGGCCTCAATTTATTTGCCACACCAACATGTATGCCCTCGTCGGCTTTTCTTCACTAATCTTTTCCCGGGAGCTTCGAGGAAAAACCTTCGTAGGCCATCCTACACCTGTAAGTAAAAAATTAAATATTAGAAATAGTAACATACAATATAGATATTAACAAACATAATAACAATGACTACAAACCTAATAACATGAAAGTTGTACTGAACATAACTATGCCTAGAGCTGTAATCGAGCCGGGTATATCATAGTTCAGACTTGACTTGATATAATTATAACTTCATGTTCTGATTGAGCTTGTGTTCAAGCCGAGTATATCATAGTTCAGACTAGACTTGATATAATTATAAGTTCATGTTCTGATTGAGCTTGTGTCCAGCTTTCATATATTGTTCAAGCTTGACTTGCTTGAATTTTTCAATATTTGGACTTGATTTGTACGTGATTTGTTTATGATAAGTGAACAAGAATTTAGATGGGCTAATGAACGTGCTAAAAATTCAAACTAGCATATAGATTTTCATACAAAAAATTCAATAAATAATTTTATAAAATTGATCGCAACTATTAATTTATTGATTATAAGCTCTGAACCCTGCAGTGTCTTAAATCTCATTTCTCCTCATTTTGCCTTAAATCCCTCGCTTAGGAAATGTTTAGTAGAATAATATGTGTAGAATTTAAGCATAATTTAATCTATATCCTACAAAACGACTAAAAATGACAACTTTAAACCTACAGAAACTTAATATCAAATATTTATATAAAATATATGATACAAGTTGTCAATAAACAAGTTAATATTCTAGTTAAATAACTTTTATTTAAATAATATCATATATGATTTGAGCTATCATAGAACTTAATATAGAGTATTTAACAAGTTATTTGTTAAACAATAAACGAGTGTGTTCATGAACATAAATGAATAAGTTCGACTATGTTCATATTTAGTTCATTTAAGCTCCGAGCTTTTAAAAATTATTTAATCTTGTTTATTTACTAATTTGAACGAACATGATCGATTCTTAATCGAGCAAAGTTATAGTTGTTCATCGAGTGCATTGATTCATTTATAGCCTTGGGCCTATGCCACAAGAGGTGCTCTTTGAAACTAATAAATATAGTTGCATGGATGCACGGAAGACCAACTTCTTGCCAAATTCTACAAGTACATGTTTTAAGTCCTATATCAACTTCATGTCTATCATTGCTACCTTCAACCTCAGCCTGATGTGGTGCCGATTCCTTTACAAGGAATTGGTCTTTCCTTGTGGCTATGTTTGTAATGTAGTCTTCAGTATATTGAACTAGTTCCCCTTTTCAAGCAGCTGCATCTCTCTTCCTTTGAGCTCTTTATTCCATAAGCATAGCTCTAATCATGTCAATCAAGTCAACAATTGCTTATTTTGGACTTCTCCAATCCAAGATTAAATGATTCAGACATAACATTTGTTTTAGAATGATTTTTTATCTCAATGTTAAAACCATTTCTATGCATGTGTAAGACGATGCAAATGAGTAGGAGTGCACTTGTGGAGAGACACTACAAAGTTAAGTCATCTTACTATCAAACTCAGGCTGAGTGCATGTATTAGCTGTTAACCATACGAGACTTTTAACCATATCACTATCGTTACGATAAAATTATTTCTTCAAATACTTTCAAAGATGCTGCAAACAAATTGTATGCTCTATATCTGAAAAATTAACGGCCTCTCCCCAACCCTTTTCTATGTCTGACATAAAAGGTCAAATGTTTCAAATCATACCCAATAGAAGCTGTCAAACATTCTAAAAACCATTTGCAAGTACTTTTCAACTCAGATTCTATAATTGCAAAAGCTAAAGTGAATACACTGTTATTACCGTATAATGAAATTGTCACTAATAAAATATCCATATATTTTGAGTTTAGATGACATTCATCCAGCCCAATCAAAGGTCTGCAACCTGCTAAGAAGCCATCGATGCCAACTTTAAAACTTACAAAAGGAAATTTTTTGAAAGAAAGATCAAGACTACTACAAATGTAAGTAAACTATGATCCTAGATTTCTATTAACAAAATCAGCTTGTAAGGCAGACTCCCATTTGTAGTTATCATTTATAGACCCAAAAATGTTGTTGCGAGCTTTCTACGATGACCTTTATAACTTCATTTATGGTAGTGTTAAGTCATACGTATCCTATAATGTATATTTGATATTTTTTGGAGTGATGTCAGAGTTCTTTCGAACAACATCTTTAATTTGTAGCGCCACCCTAAATGAAGTTGGCACTTTGTTAACTACCCTATTCACCTTGGGGGATAAGTGGGTTTGAGTTTGCAAATTAGCTGGAGAAACTGGCATAAAATAGGAACAAAGCATTGATTACCATTACTTGGAGAGAGATGCAAATCACAAACCAAAAAAAGTTCCTTCTCGCTGTGAAGCAAAGTAATCACCACCGAAGGAGAAGCTATTTGCTGGATGGAGGAAACTATCAAACTCTGAAGTGAGCAAATCATCCCTTTCACCGAAAAGAACACCATTAAGACCGAGCCTTCCAAGTGGTTTCCCAAAGATAAGACAGAAGCGAGGCCATACTTGTTCTGGCGTGATTTCTCATGCCAATGCGAGTTGAAGCGTCTGCAATGGGAGACTCTGTCATTGAAACATGTTGACTTTGTTTTCCTGCTCACGCACGCTAAGTTGAAGCGAAGAAGAGACAAAAGCTAAAGTTGAAATATGTGGTTATTTGGCGGTTTGAGGCACCTTTGTTGTAAATAGCAATATTAGGTGTGAAATATATAAAATGGTATTTTCAGGCACCCGTGTAAAAATCCCTTTTAAATATTAACTTATATTTAAATTAAAAAAAAAGGTCGGCCTAAAATGGCAAGTGGAATATATATTCATGAGATTTATTACTGCATGATTTTGCAAAATCTTTTGACGAATATACAACAAAAGTATAAAGTGACCAAGTACAGTTATATTTGGACAAAGACTAGGCCAATGGGGTTAATAAAATAAAAAAATGATTTTAAGTTATGGAAATATACATTTCTTTATATTTATGTATAATATTTTGGCAAAATAAGGTATCCAAAACTTAAGAGTATTTATCAAGTTAAAAAACAATTCTAGGAAAATTATGAAAAATTTAGGATTGATGTTAAACTTAAAGCACATTATCCATTGGATATAAAAAATATTATAAAATCTTGAAAAATTATAAATCATTGTATTCATTAAATTTTTATAATAAACTTGAAATTTTTACAACATCCTCTCTAACTACCCCTCCAACTTACATAGTTAATAATGATTTTATATTAATTGTGCAAGTCTGTGTATATTGTGTGTAGGTGCGTCTGCATGTTTGTATGTATGATTGTATGTATGTATGTGTTTATGTTGTATGTATGTGTGTGTATGTGTGTATGTGTGTATGTGTGTATGTGTGTGTGTATGTGTATGTGTATGTGTGTATGTCTGTTTGTATGAATGTATGTCTGTTTATGTATGTATATATGTGTGTAAATGTATGTATGTCTATTTGTGTGTGTGTGACTATGTGTTTGTGCGTAGGTATGCTTGTGTCTGTGTGTAGGTATGTATGTTTCATGTATGTCTGTATGTGTTTGTGCGTAGGTATGCTTGTGTCTGTGTGTATGTATGTACGTTGCATGTATGTCTGTATGTGTGTCTGTGTGTGTGTGTCTATCTATACGCATGTATATTGGGTGTGTCTGTGTGTCTGTGTGTCTGTGTGTCTGTCTATACGCATGTATATTTGTCTGTCTCTATGTATGTGTGTCCAAGTGTATATCTCGTCCTTGTGTATGTATATATACATGTATTTGTGTGTATGTATGTGTAATACACACATACATACACACAAAAAAGATTCTAAATCTGACAAGCTTATAATTAAATTAAGCTTGTCAACGACGAATCCAATGATCCCAAGATCGCTCGGTTTTGACACCAAGAAGGCACTCAAATGTTTCACAAAATGTCATTCGATCGACAGAATCTCTCCAGGTTGTCCGATGGAGTAGTCTGAATTCCTTTCTTATTTGCAGAGAGGTCTTTTCTAGCTCTAAAAATAAAACTCTACTCCCTTCTTGAGAAGAGGGATAACTTGAGCTAGAAGAAAATTGAAGCATAGAGGAGAAGTTGAAGTCGAGCATCGCTTTTGCATCACTCATTTAGCAAATGCCTCCCACTCCTGCAGTCGCCAACCACCGCCCACAACCACTGTTGACGCCTGCCTGCGGCCACAATCGACCACCATCGGTTGTCCTGATTTGTTGCAATGAAACCCCTCGCAAAATCCCAACGTACATTGTAGAATGACCAGGCATCCTGCAGAACAATGCAGTCAACATACGACACAACTACGCATCCCGAAGCTGGTATAATGGTGCACTTCACATACAGTGCAACGACACTCTGATGATGATGAAACAATACACATCAAATACGGTGCAATAACCTCTTGAAGATGGGGTAACAATGCACCCCATAAACGATGACTTTCTCTAGATTCCTAAAGCTCACTCCTTACAACCCACCACTATATCCTACACGAGCAACGTGGTCCACAGCTCGTGTAGCTCCCGACTCCAGCCCCTGCATCATACGAACATCATCACAGCTCATCACTACGACTTATGTAAATAACAATAACCTACATAGTTCTCAGTAATATTCATACTTCAATTAACAATCATCCAAACCTTTGATTTCAGGATACTTACAGTCAAAGTGACCCGCTAGATGAGACAGACTTAATAATATAAAAATTGGTCAAATCCGAGTCAAATCAAGTCATTAAATCATTTTTAGAAACTTTCTGTGCATAATTTGATGTCAAACAGATTTTGAATCTAACAAGCTTATAGACAAGTCACGTGTTTCTGTGAGATGAATTCGAAGAGCCCAAAAGCGCTCAATTATGACATCATTAAGACACTTAAATATTTTTGAAGCAACTATTGCAACCCACAATGCTAACTATTTCAATTGCTTTCAACTTTGGTCAATACTACAAGTTGGCGCTACAGCCGCAATCTATAACGTTTAGGCTGACTATTGCCCCACAACAATCGAGTATAGCTCTTGCAGCTTGCTATTACCGAGAAATGTATTTATTACAACCACACTATGACTATTATCAATGAACTACTATTGCACTTCATGAGTATCCTACACGAGCAACGTGGTCCACAGCTCGTGTAACTCCCGACTCCAGCCCCTGCAGCATACGAACATCATCACAGCTCATCACTACGACTTTTGTAAATAACAATAACCTACATAGTTCTCAACTTATGCAGCTCTCGACCTAATCTCTACAGCCTACGGCGTTGTCACAACTCACTATTACAACATATGTGACTAACTATAACCTGTTTGGCTCGTATCTCCTACTATGATCTTTGTAGCCAACCAATGCTCCTTAATCAACCATCTACAACCCACACAACCAACTACTAAAATGGCTTTCAACTACGACTTATACAACAAGCCGGCGTTACAAGCACTATTTATAACATTCACGGTAGACCACTGCCTCCATAGCAATCGACTACGACCCTTACAACATGCTATCATCGAAAGCTACATTCATTACAACCACACTATGACTATTATCAATGAACTACTATTGTACTTCATGAGCAACTTTGTAATACTATCTTCCTTTTAGAAGAAGAGTGTAGAGTGGACCCGCATATTTACCAATCATAATGGACTATTTCAACTGGGCTAGGTCACGTTGTTGTTTCCCCTTTCCAGGTTCTTCCACATAAAGAGTCGAGGTGTCTCCTCTCATTTCTATTTAATTATCTGAGTGTGTGTTGGTTTTTTGTGCAACATTAAGACGATAATTCATTACTTTACTGTCGCTATATATGTATATATATATATATATATATGTATATATATATTTGAAAGCCCAAAAAGGCTAATATATTAAATTGAAAGAAAGATACATATACAATGTATGGTAGGGCCCAAACAAGGCACCCTGCCCACACAAAAATCACAAATGGTTCCAAAGCTAGAAAAAACAAAAAATACATTAGATACTTAAATAAAGTGCCTAACAGTGCCGAAATACATAGTATCATGCGACTAGAGAGCGACCCAATTTGGTCTTGCCTCTGCCTCTAGTTCTAGGGAAGGAGCAAGCTAATAAGCTGATAAGATAATTGTCATTGTCAGTAGTAACCAATGTATCATCCAATATGTTCCCGAGCTGAAGTCTGCCTCCATTTTTCTTCTTCCTCAAGAATCAACTGATGGGGTGGTAGAGCTGAAGCAGAAGGAATACCAATCGTAGTACCCACAATAGGTTCTAGTATATGTGAAGTATGAGTTGCTTCTACACCGGATACTTCCTGAAGAAGTGGAGCTACGAGGCTCTCTTGATTATCAGTGTAAATACTATCATTTGTAGGTAATAGTCCATCAGTATCGTTTTTTATGGGGTTTGAAGGTGCCAGCATCACATCACTCGTAGTAACAGTAACAACAGTGTCATGGGGGGGATTCTCAGGGGCAATAGTCACCTCCTGTATGGTAGTACCCTCCCCAGGTGGAACTAAAATGTCTAGGCAATGGGGTTAGACCCATCCTTATTCACTTGAATCTTAGATTTCAAATTTGGATGAAACTTGTGGCATTTATCAAGGACATGACCAAATATCTTACAGTGGGTACAATATGGGGGTTTGTGCTTCATGACGATTTGTTGCCAATAACTATTATGGGTTGTGCCCAGCCAGACTTCGGTAACATCAGATAAAATAATATCCCCTTTGACAAGTGTTCTGGCCACCGAGGGTCCAATTAGGTTGAAAGTAGGCAGATATATATATATAATCTTATGCCAAGTGGAATTAAATATTATCCTACCTGATTTACGAAAAAAAAAAAGAAAAAAAAAGCTCAAAACAAAATACAACATTATCTTGGAAATTCCTCCAAAACAAAATAAAAAACAGAAGAAAATTATTGCATACAAATAACCATTGAAAATTCCTTCACTGTACAGTAGAGCAAATAGTACATATATATCATTTAAGATCCGAATACATATTCCCAGCCTCCCAGCTTTCTCAATGGGAGATTAAAAGAGTACAATTCATATAATGTTTTCTGCAGTCTATTTCTATTTTAGCCCTAAATAATTCTATAATGCTGATCTATAAGGATATGATAATAACATCAATGTGAGCAAAGCAGATGTAAATATAAGGATTGCACCCTCAAAAAATATTTGCATGCTACTAAAAGCTAACCTTTGCAGTCCAATGGAAAGGATCCATTCAATTCGCTCTAATGAGTTTCGACGCCCATCCTCCACACGACATCTTCGAGTCTGCTCCTCTTTTCTTCCTGCATGCCACTGCTCCCTCCTCAGCCACATTTGTCGGAGTTTGCAGAGTTTCTTCAGCTTTCTCATCATCACAAATACATTGCACCATTTGGAGGACCTCACTCATCTTTGGTCTCGACTTAGGATGCCTGATCAGGCACTTGTTAGCTACAGCAGCAAGTTTCATGGCAGACTTCACGGAGCAGTTCGCTTTAATCCTGGGATCTAAGATAAAGGGAAACTTCTTTTCGTCTGTCACATAAGGTTTGATCCATTCCAGGAGCTTCTGCTCGTTCTTCGGCCGGTTTCGATCCATGGGATGGCGGCCGGTGATGAGTTCATAGAGGAATATGCCGTAGCTCCATATGTCGCTCTTTGCAGTGAGACGGCCGGTCTGAATGTACTCTGGCGCTGCGTAGCCAATAGTTCCCACCACCTGCATGATTGACTCTTGGAGGTTTCACTAGTTTAAAATCAATTAATTTTATTTTCTGTTCTTGTTTTTGTTTTTAAGAATATGTTTGTTTAGGATCACTTCTATTTTTTATTTGTAATAAAAATAAAAGAATTCTGAAACACAATCAGCCACTTCACACTGAATGCATCAATTTCATCCAGATTTAATCCAAATTTTAGTTAAAATTGATGAAGAAAGTAGCTCTTCATGAGAAAACCAAATGTAATATTTCCTTCATATCAGAAGAATCATAACCAAATAAAAATTACTGATCATATATTCAAGTTATACCATAAGCACTGTAAACTATCCAAGCGATTAATATTAGCATAACACATTGCAATACCAAGAGTATAAAACGCATTTTAAATTAGGGGCATTTACATCCAATTCCTATGTATTTATATATCTAAAATCTAAACTTTAACTTTTACAATTATACCACCAAACACAAATTTAACTTTTTAAAAGTGAAATACACCTTTTCATTCATAGATAGGGTGGCATGTAAAAATTAAATTTTAGGTGTTAGATATGTAAGTAGGTATCTAAATTATCCTATAAGTTAACTCCATCTAAATGTACTCACCGCAGTTGAAACATGAGTCAATCCTTCTGCCGGACCTTGTCTCGCCAAGCCAAAGTCAGATAGTTTTGCATGCCAATGCTCATCCAATAAAATGTTGGAGGGCTTGAAATCTCGAAAAATAATCTATGAATAAACCATCAAGACGAGTCATGGAGAACTACTTTTTGTAAAAGAAGAAGTATTCAGAACATTACTAAAGAACAAAAAGTAATGGATAGTGTAGAAGCCATGTAGAAGCTTCTATCTACAACTTTTGACTGATATAAATACCAAAAATGGTTCTGATTTCCTATAAATTTGAATAAAGTGTTATTTCAAGAATTCCACATTGTTCAATTATAGTTCTCTAAAATAAAGATATTAAAATCATCTTATCATCTTTACAAAAAACATCATTTTAGTTGAAAACTGTCAGGTAAATTCATGACCAAGCAGCTTAGGCACGTGGCAACAATGTAAGAAGATTATGTTGCAAATCATATATTGGTTTTAGGGGTGTAAACTTGTTGAGTCGAGCTCGAGCCATACACATCTTGAGCTTAATGTCACCTCCTATAAGAGCCCTTATGGGTGGTGGGCAGCCCAGGACTTAAATACTGTTTTTCGGCCCTACACCTAGCCAATGTGGGACTATTTGTCCGTGACATTAAGCTTGATTAATTAATCGAGTTCAAGCTTCAGCTCGAGCTTAATTCTACGAATTTGAGCCGGCTCTTATTACGAAATAATATTAAATCAAGCTAGAATTATAATAAAATGATAGAATGAAGAGCAATTAAGAGCTAAATATTAAGAAATCACTTGATACAAAATGTAAAACATCACTCTCTTAACATTTTTAATAATTTCAAGATAAAGTATTGAATTTTAAAATAATTTGAGTATATTTGATAATAATTTGAGTTGAGGCTGTCTTGAGCTTAGCTTGTTAGCTCATTGAACACAATTCACGAGCCACTTATCCCTAATTGGTTTCTCTTATGAAGAAGATGAAGTTAATTTTCCCCTTCTCCTAATAGAATATCTAAGTCATAATAAGAAGATTAATTCACATAAATAAATATAAAGAAGAAGAAAGTACTTGAATTTCCATCCCTTCATGTAAGTACGTCAAACCGCGAGCAGCATCGAGAGCTATCTTCAATCTCATGCCCCATGAAAGACTGGCGGATACTTTTAGTGATAATTGATATTCAACGCTTCTATTTTGCATATATTCATAAACAAGCAGTCTCTGAATTCCTCTTTCATCATCCTCAGCACAATAACCAACTAATTTGACAAGATTTGGATGCTCAACCACACCTAAAACATTTACCTCAGTCAACCATTCCTTGTGTCCCTGAAATTGGAGGGGTAAGAATCAGATTAACAAAAATTGCAAGGATTTTGCTCTTTTTTCACTAGATTGGCAAGACAGAGGAGAAATTTGCATACATACCACACAATTTTTACGTATTTACATATGTAACACCCAAAATTTGATATTCACACTTATAACACCTTCGTGTCATAAATTTATGCATGAAAGGGCGTATTTCACTTTCAAAAAGATAATGATTGTGATGTTTTCGATGTGACGTTAAAAATTTGAGTGGTAAGCATTTAAATATGAATGTTTGAGTGTTAGATATTTAAATATATAAGAATTGTGTTGAATAAGAGGCTCGAGTTGCTGTAACATTTCCTTTTAAGAAATACCCAAATACCTTCTACAGGTTTTTGACGTCTAAACAAATATTAATAAGGCTGGCATGTATGTCGAGACCCATTACATAGGTTAATCTTGGAGGCCCGGTGGCTTTATATTTTGCAGAACTATTACCAGGGTATAAAAGATGAGAAATATTAAATAACATTTTTTTATAAAACAGAAAAAGAAGATACCTAATGTTCTTAATGTGGCTGGGATCAATATTTTAGAATCAGCTTTCTAATCTCTTGCAGTACTCATCAGAATTTGAATCCACGATGCAGAATGAACTACTGGGGTTGTTTGGTTTGCTGAAAAAGGAATGCAGTGTTAAAGTAACTTATTGGATTTGGAGTATTTGAGAATTGTTTGGTTCATTGTAAAATAAATGCAGGGGTGTGGGGAGAAAGGCTGTGGGCGGTAACGAGGACGACAGTAGCTCTGACTGCGGCAACAGCGGTCTGCGGCGATGGGCAAGCGGTGGACAATAGCGGCAAGGCGGCGACATCACTTTAAGAAAGCAATTATTTAGATTTCATTCAAATCTGAAAAGTAAATTCCAAATACATTGAAATTTTACACCGCGTTATTTCTCTTCCAACTAAAAGTTTGGATTTTTAAAACTTCTGAAAAATGAATGCAATGCACTCTTTTTGTTGTTGATCAAACATCCCCTAAAAAAGGAGGTTATTTATAGTAGACCTCCTATTGTTGGATTAAAGGTTTGGAAAACATACTTAGACATTATTTACACTATCCAATGCGCTCCTTATGAAAATTTTGCTTCACAAAAATACATGAGTTATACTATGAGGTAACCAAAACTTGCCTGAAATCCCACGCGGCTCAGTTTCTTAACAGCAATCTCAATATTTTCATGCAGATCAACAGGATTCTTGATCGTGCCCCTATACACGCATCCAAAGCCGCCTTCTCCGAGCATTTGTGAACGGCTGAAATTCCGAGTAGCAACTTTCAGTTCTTCGTATTTGAAGATCTTAAGATCATTTAACTTCTGAGAAAAACTCGAGAACTGAGATCTCCCTGTTGAATCTGTACTCATGTCTGACACAGATTTCTTCGTATCTTGATCATTCGAAGCCGTGCTGCTGCTTGAATGGCGCAATGCCATCTTACTCACTCGAGGCTTATGCTCCCGCTCTCCAATAGAGAAATGAAAACACTTCATGGACTCGATTTGAAAGAGAAACCTCAAAATTCTTTTGCTATAAGAGAAATTCACCAGGAAAATAGCATAGGAAGAAGTTATAGTAAATAAACATGCATGGAGACCAAAATTAGCTAACTAGAGAGAATTCAATTTCTCTACTCCAACAGCAAGGAATAGTTATATAGATCAAAAATCAAAAGCCAACAACAACAAGAATATCTTCAATTTCCTTAATATAGTACCAAGCAGGAAGTTTACATCCATTTCTTTAAAAATCACGATCCATTTTCCTTTTGCTTGTTCAACAAACATCCCATACAAACCCTATTTTCCTGTTGTTGTTTTTCAACCAACATTCCATTTTCATGTTGCTTGTTCAACAACCATCTCATTTAAAGAACAATATCAATAGAAAACCACATGCAAAGTACAAATAAAATAACCTAATAAATCTCCCTAAAATCATTAAATAGAATGCAAGAGACAAACATTTCGCACCTATTTCACACAAAGTCATTATATATTACAGTTGCTTGTGTCACATCCATCCAATACAAAGAATAACAAAACATGAATGACAAAAACCACAATAGAAAAAAGAAAGAAAAATTCATCCTAATGTATTCTTTGAAGAACAAAGATAAACCCTAAAATCCCAAAAGAACTTTCTCTACAATCCAATGAGGAAGTCCGACAGAACTACTTACTATAGTTTTCTGAACTCTCTAAAACTATCTTTTAAACCCCATATTCGCGCTTCTTCCCCAATCAATCTCAAGAAAGATAAAGAAATCAAACTATACTCAAGCCGGAGTACTGAATCAAAAACTTACTTCTTCGGACTGATTAGAGAAATGTCGAAAATTCAGCTTACTGGAACTGATTCTCACGGGGCAAAGCGACGCGGGTGACCTACAAGGGCAGATACGACGCCATTAATTTCAGAACGACCGAACAAGAAAGTCAAGAGGATGAATTCCGTGTCAGCTGTGTTATATCAGCTGGTTCACTTCTTTCTTCTTCCGAGAAATATAGAGATAGCGATATAATGGGAGGATTGTGAGAAAGTATTTGGTGGCATAATTGGAGTATTTATCATGCAAAATTTGAAATTAAATTTCACAATAATTTCAAAAAACCCCAATTTAATTGAGAATTTTACATGCTTACCGCATAATACTTGTGTATTTACATGTATAACAACTGAAATTTTACATTCACATGTATAATACTATTTTATTTTAAAAAGTAAGTGATAGTAAAGATACAAGTGCACTGAAATTTTACATTCACATGTATAATACTATTTTGTTTTAAAAAAGTAAGTGATAGTAAAGATACAAGTGCTACGCATGTAGATATGAAAGTTTGGACATTAGATATGTAAATACATAAAAATTATGTGCCGTGTAGGTAAATACCCTTTAAATATTTTATATATTGTCATAAATTTATATATGAGAACATATATTTTACTTTAAAAAAATTAGTTTATAATATGCGAGTGTTATGCATGCTTATGAAAACTTAGATATTAGATATATAAATGCTAATTATTCTCGAAAAGAAAGAAAACAAACATTATTGTTTTGTGCTAGAAAATTTGTGGAGATAGAGTGATAATTTAATATATTAGTATTGCACGAAGATTCATCATACAGTCAAATATAAAAATCATGAAACGAGACACAGTGATTTTCTTACCTATGGATGTATGTTGCTCTCAGATTTTGAGGGTGGAGAATAAGAGTCGTCGAATGAAAAGTTGCATGGAGCCGGGGTGATTAGGAATCTTCTAATGTATAGAGCTGATTAGCGATATCTTTTTTAGTTTTCTTTCATTTTGATGTTCGCACATACCCGTATGAAAATTTTGTAACTCAGCTTTTATAAACATACTTTATAATGCAAGGGATTAGTGCTTCGAGTTTTCTTTCTTGCGCTCCACAATTGTTCTAGTTTATAGGTAATTTTTTGCTGGTCGTGGTTGGTTAGCAAGCGTGTAGATATGCATCTATGTAAATTAGGCACGGGTGATTGTTCGCTCACCTCTCATGGATTTTGTCGTTGTCGGGTCTCGATAGGTCTCATAAGCCTTTCGCGGTAGTTAGACACCCCTCAAGGAGCTTGTCGCTTGCCGATGTTAACTTTGTAAATTGGGCGGAGAACGATCATTTGTGCACCCCTAACAGAGATTGTCGGTGTTGGTTGTTGATACGTCCCATAGGTCTTTCGCGATCATTAGACACCATTTGCGAAGCTTGTCGCTATCGGGTGTTAACGCTTAAAATATTGCACGGGATGATCACTCACACACCCATCACAGAGCTTGTCGTTGTCGGGTGTTGATATGTCCCATAGGCCACTAGCGATGGTTTGACACTTCCCACGGAGCTTGTCGCTGTCGGGTGTTAATGCTTAAAATAAAGCACAAGATATCGTTTTTGCACCCATCGCAGAGCTTGTCAATACATCTCATAGGCCAATTGATTTCCTTTGCATTGATTGATAAGTTTTAGCCACTTGGGGAGCCTGTTCCCAAGCGTAATTGCTTCGATTACCCTAGTGTAACTTATTTAGTTCCCTAAGTGTAACTGCGTCAGTTCCTCGAGCGTAATTGTGTCAGTTCCTCGAGTGTAATTGTGTTAGTTCCCTGAGTGTAACTGTGTTAGTTCCCCGAGTGTAACTGCGTCAGTTCCTCGAGTGCGACTATAGTAGTTCCCCGAGCATAAATACGATCAGAGAAAGTACTAATAGCGATATTGAATATGTGAAATCTCAAACTTTTATGTGTTATGAATGTGAAAAAGACACTTTATTATATTGAGTTTTTGAAAGATAAGATGGGTTATACAAATCGATCATGACAACGTTCCTTCTACAAATAGGTATAGCTTTAAGGGGATAGTTTCTTTAGATCATCACCACTCTAAAGTTTGAGGGATTTCATTTCCTGCAAATGTCTTCAGTTTGTTTGCTCTAGATCCTGCCCTCTGGTGGATGATATAGGGGTCATTCCAGGTTTGATCCAGCTTTTCGATAGCCTGCCCCTTGGCAGTGGGGTCGACCATCTTCAGCATTAGGTCCCTTGGGAAAAATTATCTTCACATACATTTGTTAAAATGTTCATTTGTCCTTCGCTTAACCTCTTTTTTTCTAGAGGGTTGTGTTGGCTTGATTCTCTTTGGCTAGGTTTTGGGAAAAATTATCTTCACATACATTTGTTAAAATATTCATTTGTCCTTCGCTTAACCTGTTTTTTCTAGAGGGTTGTGTTGGCTCGATTCTCTTTGGCTAGGTTTTGGGCGAGCTTAACTCCTTTGTCGTTCACCTCAAGCCACTCTCCTAGATCCTCCTCGTTAAAAGCTGAGCCGGAGAGTACCGTGTGGTTGTAATTGTTGTATTTAATAGGTAACATGACTTTCATTACCTGGAAAACATAAATGGGGTATGTTTGGTGGACGCAGACGATGTTGTTTGGATTGCCCCGAGTATCGAAGTGATCAGGTATGTCCTTTTGCCCTTTGCTCCATCTACCTTTTTCCTTAGCAAATTTAAAATGATTTTGTTTGCAGGCTATACCTGCACGTTAGTTCGAGAGTGATGTACGGAAGCAAAGTTGAGGTCGATTCTTACAGAAATCTTGAACTCATTTGTCGGCGAATCATGCCTCATTATCTGTAACTATGACGAGAGGTAATCCTTATTGGAAGATCAAGTCAATCCAGATTAAGTTCCAGACTACTACCACTGTTTTGTGTGCTAGAGGCTTTGCTTCTACCTACTTGGAGAAATAATTTACGACCAACAGTAAAAACATATGTTGTCTTCTTGGTGGGGGGTTGAGGCCCTACATGACGAACGATCGGGGGAACTTATTTGGTCGGTTGATGGAGTAATGGTCCATATTTATGACATTTATGTACAACTTCAGGAATATTCTTTGGTTTCATTGATCAAGTTTGGCCATAAGTAACCTTATTGTTAAATTTGATGAGTCAGTGTCTTTCCCCCAGAATAGCTCCTAAACCCCCCGCCATGAACTTCTCGGAGTATTTCTTCAACCTCATCTTCCCCAATACACTTTAAGTATAATGATGTGGTTGACTTCCTAATGTGTTTCATTCGATTGAAAGGTATTGAGCAACGTTATATTTGAATCTCATGTGATCGGTGACTTCTTCGTCGATCTCCCCCGTGCTTGAGTATTAGATATATAAGCTCATCCAACTTTTCCTTTCATCCTGATGAATCTCCATTACTAGTGGTTCTTCAATTAAGGGTTGACTGAGTCTTCTAAGTAGTCTATCTTCTTGAAGAAAGCTCCAGGATAGAAGGTTGATGATCTAATTTTCCTCCCTTCGGACATGTTTGATTTTGAAGTTGGCAAACCGATTGATCGCCGTCTTCACCTTACCTAGTTATTTCTCCATAGTCTCATTCCTGGTTTGAAATTCCCCGTTGTTCTGGTTCACTATGATTTGTGAGATGGCTTTTACCATTATGTGGAGGACTCCTATCTCCAAGGCTTGGTGAATTCCTACAGTCAAAGCTTCATATTAAAATTGGTTACTAGTCAATGGAAAGTTTACCTTGATTGAGTGGTAGTATTTCTCCTACCGGGCTACACAATGGAACTTCAAACCAACACCTGATTGGCCAAGTTCCCCATCGATGAATAGGGTCCAAGTCAATCTGTCAATCACCAAATCTCAGTTTACCCCTCTCGGTTCGGAGAAATATGTAAGGAAATATGCAATAGCATGTGCCTTTATTGCCAGCTGAGGGATATAGGAGATGCCAAACTCGCTGGAAATATGGTTGAAGTCTCCATGCTGAACAGACTAAGGCGAAGGTCAAATCATCATTATTGAATACCAGAGTTTGACTGGGTGCTACTTTCCGAGTTCTTCTCTAACCAAGACCAAATTGATGATTTTAGGGCCGACCCCATGGTAAAGATAAAGTTTTTCCTTTGTTTTTGAGCTCTAAAGACGAGGGGGGAGAGGCGAGGAACATCTTGACATTCTTGAATGCCTCCTAGCATTTTGGTGTCCATTCGAAGCATTTGGCTCTCCTAAGTACTTTGAAGAATGGGGTGCACTTATTACCTGACTTGGGGATGAACCTGCTTAAAGCTACGATCCGACCAGTTAGTTTATGGATGTCCTAGGTGTTTTTAGGGGAGGACATATCGAGGAGTGCATGGATCTTTTCCGAATTAGCCTTTATGCCTTTAGAAGTTAGCAAATATCCCAAGAATTTGTCTGTCGCGGCTCCAAAGGTGCACTTTAGTTGGTTTAGTTTAATGTTAAACTTTTTAAGTGTAATGGTTTCTTTATGATCCACAATGTGTTGTTAGGTTGACCGACTCTTAACCAGTAATTCGTCAAAATACACATCAATATTCTTTACTTTTCGATTAGCAAAAACTACATACATGAGGCGTTGGTAAGTCGCTCCAACATTTTCAAGCCCGAAGGGCATTGTATTGTAACAAAGAAAAAACTCCCTCACAAGTAATAAAAGTGGTCTATTTTGCATTAGCTGGATGCATCTCGATTTGATGGCACCTGGAGAATGCATCGAGAAAACTTAGGACTGAATGGTTGATTGCCAAATCCACCAAAGCATCAATTATTAGTAGAGGGTAAGAGTCCTTCGAGCAAGAAGAGTTCAGGTCGGTGAAGTCCACACACATTCTCCATTTTCCATTGGCCTTCTACACCATCACCATCGAAGACTCAGGTGGGGTATTGCACTTCTCGAATGTACCGTCCTTCTCCAACTTTTGTACTTTCTCTCATATGGGTCACACCAACATCATGGTCAAGCTTATAATATTTTGCTTAATGGGTTGAGCTAATTGGTCGATGCTCAATCTATGGCAGGCTGCGGTGATCAGTACTCCCAACATCTCAGCGTCTGTCTATGTGAAAACATCTTGATTTTCACGGAGGGATTGGGCCAACAACTCCCTATGATCTGCATCCAAAGCTTCATTATCAAAAAACATATACTCGATTCTCCTTCGACCGTCGAAACCT